TTTTACTTTAATAAATGATAATTATTTTATTGATTTAAGAAGAAAGAGAATAAGACAAGTGATTAAAAAAAAAGAGAATAAAGGGTTGAGAAAACAAAAAAATATTTTTCTAATTTGATGAATATGAAAAAGGGAAAAAAATTTAAAATTTAAGTTCAAGAGTAATTGAACCTAATTCAATCAATGACATTGCTAAACAGCTTATCACTATTATAAAAAAATTTCAATTTAATTAAAAATGCTAAAAATATATATCAAAGTTTATATATATAATGATAAAAGAAAATAAAAACTACCACCCTCTCCCTCCCCCATTATATACTATATATATATAATTTTGATCTGTCACATCATTGTAATTTTATTAAGATATAACCCAAATAAAAAGCTCAAATGTTTTACAAGTATGAAAAGGCAACGTAACATAGTACAAAACATTTGTACGTGTAGCCGTGCACCACGTGGGTGGATAACCCAATCACTGACCATACTCTCTAAAAATGATACTCACCGGATAAATTTGACGTCGACCTTCCATTTTTCTTCCTCCTCGAAATTATATACTCCAAATTTAGTTCGTAAATATATTGTGACTAATTTAGTTATCCAAAAGCGATGTTCACGTTAACAATGTTAGGCAACGAAGGAACGTACAGTACATGTATAATTTAGCTTGACTATTCGATTTTTTTTATAATTTTTGAGTTTTGATTGAAAGCAAAAAATTATATTACAACAAGTGATGCATATTTGAAAATATATGTTAAAATTAAGAAAATAACATAGAAAACGAAAGAGAACAAAAAGGAGTGTTACTTTGTTAAGAAACAACTAGACAAGATTTGGTTGATAGATTTCAAGTAGACTTGATAAATTTATATACGGTATGTTAACACAATATGAGAAGATACAAGATTAAACAGGTTTAAGTTTAGTTTTAATGTGTTTCGGATTTAATAATATTTGATATATTTAAAATATAAAAATTTTCGTGTCTTAACCTGTCAAATACAAGTAACACATTCAAAACATATTAAATTAATCGTGTTTAAACATATATATGATACATTTATTAATTTATTAAAAATTAATAATCAAAGACTATTTTAACCTTACTTAAATAATTTTTGTTTGGATGTTTGAAATTTTTCATGATCGATGACGTGGTTAATAATATGTATTTAATTATGGATGAAAATTATGAATGATTTTAAATATTATTAGTATTTTAAGATTAGATTTGTTCATATTACATGATAATGAATTATATATATATGTTATTTATGTTAAATTTTATTATATTTGATGTTATTATTATTTTATTTTGTTATAATTGTTTTTATAATTATTGATTTTAAATTTAAATACTAAAATCATATTTAATTATAAATATTTTTTATCTAATTGAACTAAATAGGTTAATCGTGTTATTAATTATGTCGTGTCGTATATTGACATATTTAATACACGTGTTAAACATGTTGTATCGTGTTATATAGTTATTAAGCGTATACGTGTACTTATTTTAGATTTAAAACATGAATATTGTTTGTATTTAATTTGAACAAGTTTTGTATTTAATCGTATTTGAGATGTTTAAAATACGAAAACATAAATTATCATATCTAATTTCAAGTTGAGTGACTTTTTGCTTTACCTTTTTTTTTTTTTTTTTTCATCTAAGTTTCCACATAATTTTCATGGTTTGTAAGTTCCAAAAATATTTGTGTTGAAATTAGGATATTGGGAGGACAAAACTTTTAGTTTCTCAAAAAAGAAAAAAAAATTATAATCAGACTCTTAACTCAGTACATATCGAACGATAATAAAAATTAAAAATTAAATCAAAACAAAAAGAGTAAATTTTACATATATTTTTTATGATTTCAATTTTTTCGTATGATGTTTTATATATTTTTTAATCTGTATTATGTGTATAACTTCTATATTCCTACAAAGAGTTAGGTTATTAATTTTCTCTAATAAAATTACAACCATATCTGTTAACAAATAGATTAATTTTAAATCGATAATACATATTTTAATAATATCTTTAAAAAAATAAAAATTGTAAAAAAAATTACCCGAACAAAATTTATTATCCAATTATAGATAGTATTCATCCAATTTACAAATTGTGTGGCAGCATTCCTTATGTGAGCTTGCGTTGGAGACAGAAAGTAGCTCTATTCGAGATAGTGCTATACGTAGGATAGTATTATTTTTCTACTTTTAAATACAGAGATATAACTAAAAAGTTCAGTTTCCACGTCACTGCTAACATAATTAGGAAAAGTGCACAATATTTTTAGCATATATATATTAATAAGGAAAGGGCATAATTCTTTTTCACTTTTCAAATTTCATGTACAGAATTGAAAATTTTGTTTTATCAGCAAATACTATGATTTTGACAAAGATGGAAAGAGCCGTGTCGGTATTGCTTTCATTTGTTTTCTCTCTCTGGTATAGCCAAAGTGGAGGAAACTATTTTGTGCCTGAATTAACATAAGCTCAAACAATTCTTGGAGGAAAATAAAAAAAAATGGTATAATTTTTTTATGGATGTGACATGCCAAAACGTACCGTGGATTAACAAGTAATGTAATGGTCCACTACTATAGGCACTTAACTAAACCCAGTGGGGCGGCATTAGATTGAGTTAAAAGTTTGGCTTATACATTAAAAAGATAATCGGTTTTGATAGAATTATAAGTTCTTTTTGGGCATTTGTCAACGGGAATTGACAGTGGTTAGTGTGCTCAAGGTGTTTTCCACATGCCCATTTGTCATTAATCAACGCTTTGTTTAATTTAATCAAATCTTAATCAATGCGGAAACAGGATTGGTCAAAGCTAGCCAATGAAATCGTGGGAGTAGCTTTCCTTATGTTCCATATATTTCTATTTTTTTTCCCAAGGTAACCAGTGATATTGATAGATACAGAGTCCCAAACGCCAAGTTAACGGGAGAGTTGTGAATACCGAATAATGGGATTGGCATTGCATGATCCTGATCGGGACCAAACACACTCAGTTCTGTTCGTGGGCGCTTTTAGAGAAAAAAAAAAAAGGTGATTCTCCTTTCAACATTATAGTATACATTGCACCATTTTGAGTTCCCTGTTTACTTCTCGGATCTTGCCTGGTTGACTGGTTCATTTATAGTTCACAGTATCCAATCTCCATCCTACTTGGAAATTTGGTGAACTTTACCAAATTTTGAGCATTTTGTAGGGCATTAACCCCACCCAAATTTGACAGTCTCAAAAACTGAAGCTTCATGAGCTATACAAGCTGGCTAACAGAGTCAGCGGTCAGCACATTCCTTAACCTCAATAAACCTGCTAACTTCACACTGCAAATGGTGCCCCAAGCTTCAGATTATAACAGGATTTTCCTCTAAGCATGGAGCTTAAACTCTCTGTATTTTATGATACAATGAGTTATTTGGGATATTTCCTAAAACCCAAATATCCATTTCGAAAGTGTGGTCTACACAATTAAAAATATTACAAGATTGATTTGGGTTTATTGAGTGTATAATCACCCTCATATTTTTGGTGTATCAAGAAAGCGATTTAAGTGATTTGTCGAGTGCAGGACGATTGCAAGGAGGGAAACGGTTTAGACTTTGTAATAGCAAAATTAATATAAGGAATATGGTAAATGACTACTATCTGAAAATTAGTACAACTAGATTGTCTTTTGTATAAACAGAAGAAAAGGGAAGAATGCAGTTATTCTTTCTTTGGAAAGAAGGCTTTTAAAGAATGAATAGACCATAGGCCTCAGCTCAGATTCATCCCTGAACTGGCACTGAGTTACTGACTGAGCCTCCACCGAACTGTTTATATAGTATATATGCAGTATTCACTGAAACCGGTTTCCAGCTTCAAATAAAGTCTACACTTGCAATACTTGAAACCGGTTTCCAGCTTCAAAAACCCGTTTGTAATATCCATGAGCAGTATCAGTATTAGTTTAACTATGTCTTAGTCTAACAAATCCAGATGCTAACAGGATTTCAGAGAAATCAAATCAAGGTGAATCTCATAAAGCTTGAACCTTTCAAGTCAGAAGGGTTTTAAGCAGAGAGTAAGTTGCCGTAGGAGACGAGAGGCTGCCAAAGTCGCAAATGCGATGTGACAAGGACGACCGCCCCCTGCCGTACTCCTAATGCCGTCGCTAATGCTTGAGATTAATATAGGTTTATCCACAACCCAAAACCGCGTCGTTTTGCTTTCAGCCAACTACCTCCTTCACGGTGTCGTATTGGTACGGAATCTTAATCCCAAAGCAGTAACTTTTTATCTTACCACATTCTTGCGAGATTCGGATTTAAACCAGTTTCATGAGACGCCTCTTTCTTCAATCCCTTGCGACAAGACAACAAAGTAGATCCACCCGTACTTTTATAAAAAAGGGCAGGATGTAGGCCCCAAAATCTGCACCACCTGCCACAGAGGGTAAGCCTCAAAAAACTTCCCCAAGCTCCATTCTCCACCTTTCAATTTTCGTTTCGCGCTTCCAACGAACCCAAAATTTCCTCCTCCTCGCCAGTCTCCCTCCGCCTTTTCAATATTTGGAGCCAAAGCACGGCGCGATCTGTGCCACCCCGCCACACGACACCATATTTTTAAAATCCATTAGTTACTTAAACCAATAGTAATACTCTTTAAAACCCCAAAAAAATATTTTTAAAAAATATAATAACCATCTCGCCTCCCACAAAACAAGACCCCTTCCTTTCCTTGTCTGTCTATAACTATAACACTAGTAATGATAATAATAATTTCACATCGACTCTGATACCCTTGGCCAACTTTTATTGTAATC